TTTATTAGTTTTTGTAGCCCAGCATCACACAGTGATGACCTATAGAAGAGTTTCTGTATGCAAATATTGGCTTTCCTTCTATATAGTTGAAATGCCCCAATAAGGAGAATACTATGGACTGCTTTGCAGGAGGAACAGGACACCAAATATGAATGCAAATGTTTCTGAAATTTGAAGTTATTACACAAAACAGAAATGTTTTTATGGTTGGCTAGGAAGTGTTGGCAGGACACAAAAACAAATGTTGATTCTTTCCTTGGAATTTAAAATTACATTTTGGATAATTCGACTTGCTCAAAAATATTTCGTATTTGTTGAATATACTATCCACCTCTTTGCAGCGTTCCTAAATGCATTACTTTATCTCAGGAAATCAGCATTTTACAATTCTATTCCTGCCACCAACAATGTCCTATAGTCCAACCCCACCTACCACACACACCCAGAGACACCCTTCTCCATCAACGTGTCCTTCAAAATTCAATCTTTCTGGGAACTGTCTCAGCTAATCCCACCTTCTATGTGCCTGTGAGGTGCCATTTCTGTCTTCCTACAGCACCAAAATACATTAATTCAAATCCAAATTTTTGGATCATTTGAGTATAGCATTAAACATCATCAAAAATTTATTATTTATAAAAAACTATTTACCATATTCTGCAAATGCAAAATGCACATCTTCCTTGACGCTAGGGGCTTCTACATCTTTGTCATCTCCCTCCATCCCAACTCTGGCCCCTTCCTCAAACATAGCTCGAAGCCTTGACAGTACTTGGCACTCAGTAAACACCTGTTAACAGAATGTGAACTGTATGCAGAATGAATGAATGAATCTATTTTTAAAAGGTCAAGATTTCAGCTAAAGGGTCATCCTATTTATTACTTAAAAGATTATTTAAGTAATCTCTACACTCAACATGGGGCTCAAACTCACTACCCCAAGATCAAGAGTCACATGCTCTACCGACTGAGCCAGTCAGGCATCCCCAAGATCATCCCATTTATTAACTGACAATAACTACACTAAGGCCAATACTCTATAAAAGCTTTTGTTTTAATGATTTGACCTGTACCAATTTTTACTCACCTTAGTCAAAATGACTTCTAGTTACCCTTGCAATACCTGCTTTACATGTCCTTTCTTTGTTTCCTAAGCATATAATTCCATCAAGGTCCAAACCATATTATCTAGAAAGCTGTTTATCGCTCTTACCATGCCCCAAAGTCCTCAAAGGTAGTCATGTGTCTTATGCATTTCTATCCCTGAGCAAGCACAATAGTTGGCCCAAAGTGGCTGCTCATTATCCTGTCTGCTAAAGTAAAGGAAATTAAGATTAATTAACAGGGGATTAATTAAACAGTCCTTATAGTTGTTCTGATAGAATATTATCTTGATGATTTTTTTTTTTTTTAGAACCAAAGTAAAAAACTGATTTGAGCACAAAATATCTTATACTGGATTTAGTAGAGTCAAGCAACAGGTTTAAAAAAAACAAACAAAAACTGGTGAAATTCTCCTTGAGATTTGGGAAAAGACTATCACGATTTAATTTTACAAGCAGGCACCTCTACCTATTCTGTAGGACAACAGTGCTACACAGGAACACCCAAACCATTGAAATCCGCGGTTTTTACTGTCTCTAGCCACATCCTGACAAAATGCAAGAAACCTAAACTTGAGCTGCATTCAAGGTTCTGTGTGACATTTCAAATTCAAGTATGTCAAAGCCACTTTGTCTTCTGAGTTAATTCCATTCTTTCCATTCTTTTTTTCTCTTTTTTTTCTTTTTTTTCCATTCTTTCCATTCTTAATGCTACTCCATTCTCAAAAAGTCATGATACATTTGTACCCTTGTCCCCAGTTGGGCCAAGTTGTATGAAGGTCATTCCTTTCCATTCCTTTGGTCACCACTATAATATTGGCCCTTATACAGATGACCCTTTGAACAACACAGGTTTGAACTGTGTAGATCAACTTATGCAAGGAATGTTTCCAATAAATACAGTACAGTACTGTAAATGTATTTTCCCTTAGGATTTTAATAACATTTTCCTCCTTCTAGCTTACTGCATTGTAAGAATCCGGTATACGATGCATATAACATCCAAAACATATGTTAATTGACTGTTTATGTTATTGATAAAGTGTCCAGTCAACAGGAGGCTATTGCTGGTTAAGTTCTGGGGAAGTCAAAAGTTATACACAGATTTTCAACTGTATGGGAGGTTGGCACCTTTAAGCCTTGTGTTGTTCAAGAGTCAACTGTATTGCTACTTAGACTAGCCCAAAAGTCTGACAAGAGTCTCTGAAGATTTTCCTGTCTAATGCCCTGGTCACAATGCTACCAAATTAATCTCCCTTTAAGTCAGTGGCTCAAATGTTGGATGATTCCGTCATCATTTCTCCCCTCAGACATTTGGTATCATCTGGAGACATTTTCAGTTGTCACAACAGGACACTACTACTGGAATCTAGTAGGTAGAGGCCAGAAACTCTGAACATCCCATAATGCACAGGAAACCCTCTCCCACAACAAAAAATGATCTGGCTATATATACAGATCACCCTGTTACCTTGGGCCAGTTTCCTCATCTGTGAAAAGGGGTTAAAGTACCTATCTCAAAAAGCTGTCAGGAGGATTAAGTGAGCCACACTGTATGAAGAGCACTGAGCACAGTACCCACACACTGGGTACTTTCACACATTTAAAAAAAATTGCTAAAGCTGTTACTTTTGTCTTTTTTCTCAAACAATTACTGTCACAGAAAAGGGACTGAATGGACACTGATAATGGGAATAGAAACAAGAAAAGGATTTCAAATAAACATAGATGAGGTGTTTTTCTGGGCCTGGACAAACTTTGTGCCACTAGTATAAGCAAGCAAGGCGGCTGAACCATTTTTAAAGCAAGTGCTATTAGCCTGGAAAAATGTTAATGTCATTATCAAAAAATGCAGTAAACAAATTTAGAAAATTGTAGCTGATGAGCCTGCCACTGAAGAGAAAAAGTCCTGGGGTACCTGGGTGGCTCATTTGGTTGCGTGTCTGATGCTTGGTTTTGGCTCAGGGCATGATCTCACAGTTTGTGGGTTCAAGTCCCATGTCAGGCTCTGTGCTGACAGTGTGAAGCCCACTTGGGAGTCTCTGGCCCTCCCCTGCTTTCTCTCAAAAATAACTAAACATGAAAGGAAGGAAGGAAGGAAGGAAGGAAGGAAGGAAGGAAGGAAGGAAGGAAGGAAGGAA